AAAAGCATACTTCAGCAGACATGTCTGAGAAGCTGTTAACAGCTTCCTCTGGCAAAACTGTATCCACCTGACTTGTATTTAAACATCAATCTTGGCAATTCCAGATTGAGCATGCAAGAAAGAAAAATCAAATGAAATGATTTACATACCTGTTTGTTTTTTTTGTGGTAAAAACAATCTGACCTCACCCCCTCCCCCAAAGTGTTTACTGATTTTCTTCCAAATTTTCTTTCTTCTTTCTTTCAATAGCATCAACAATAAGCCATTGCTAGATTGTTAACCTATCTACATTTATCTTTCAGGTACCCTTTTTTTGCCACAATATCCCGTATAAACTGCTATCAATTTAGTTAAATTTTTAATCAGGGAACACAATTATATTATATATACTGGAGTACAGGAACATATTTTACTTCTATATAGTGTTGTTAATGCAAAAGTAGTTTATCATTTCAGCAATATTTCCTGGGCACCTGGGATAGCAAAGGCTGTATCTAAAAACGCATCAAATAAGTGTTACATGCAAATTAACACTTACTTTATTATTGCTTTAGAAAATGTTTGCCACAATAGCATGATGGTACACATGTTCATATTGGAGTTTTATCATTATTTCTATCAAATACTGACCAATGAAGGAGCCTGGTCTGCAAAGTGTTTGCCAACTACACAATCCCAACCCATCTTGGGTCATTTATATGGATTTCTTTGTCTCTATAGACACTGCTCTTCCTACCAACCTTAAGCTTCATTTAGGGTTTTGTCCACAAGGAACTATGCAACCTTAATATCCAGCTCACACACTGAAGAAAGCGATATGTAATCCTTTTCAAAGTCTGAATTATTTGAATGTTCTTCCTATAACAATCATAAAAAATTAACTACACATTTGAAATAAGCATGTCTTAAGTTATAGACACTTCATGGGATCAGCCAATCTTCATTACAAAGCTGAGAATGGTTGCTCTAAGATAATAAAAATAGATATTCTTTGGTACCAAGTGCAGAATTTTTTCTAACATGTGGACACCACCACAATAGTGATAACATTGACATTCATGCTATGTTACAAAATATAGCCATTCCCCCCTATCTAATTCTAAAATTAAATGCCTAAAACATTTGTCAATCAATAGATAATGTTGCCCAAATGCTGTCTTATAACTTTTCCACAGGGGTATAGAGTGGTTAAACCTAAGCCTCTGAAAACCAGGAAAAACAAACTGGAAATCAATGCCGCTCCTGCAATATCATCTTAACTCTCTTCACAGGTGACAATGGCTGCAAGCAATAATTCAGTAAAAGTGATGTCAATACTAAGTATCCAAGACGAACAACTGAGAGGCGTTAATTATACTGCTTTCCAGATATGAATTGCAGTACCACCATAAAACAAACTGGATTACTGGATTCCAAAACTTCCATTGTAACCTTAACTACATTTAGAGATCAACTATTTCATTTTTAGTTCCAACTCAAATGGTTTCTTCTGGTCAACAGAATTCCAAAGTGAATGCTTCCCTTAAAAACAACTCATTTGCATTCATGCAATTCAACATAGATTAAACAGTTTTAACTGCAAAAACTTACAATTTCAATAAAATTTAGTTCACAAAAAATGATGACATAAGAAAGCAAAAGAGCCAAAGTATAAACATTTGTTCATGCATATCACTATACCATCAGTATAGCAGACCCACTTGCTTGTGGTTAGTGCTTTACTCACTTTGTCCACAGTCAAAATGTCTGGTTCAAATTCAAACTTCACAGTATGATTTGTCAAAAAAGTTATCAAAACAATACGGATACCCGATTGCTTCCGTTTACATTATGAAGATATACTACTGGGAAGAGAGGAGAATGGGGGGACATTCTCAGGCCATAATCCAATGTTCACTGGGGTCAATGGGAATCTTTCCTTAAATTTCAACAGGTACTGAACTGGGTCTTAAAGGGCAAACTTCTAACTTAAAAATATTTGAAAAGAGGCTTATCTCAATTAACCAATCAACAATAGCTTTTTTGTTTGTTTATTAATTTTGTTCTAAAATTTAATAAAAACGCTAACCACACTCACCAAAGATCCAGAATACTTGGAATGACAAAGAAACAGTATCTTCAATATCAACCTTGGCATCAGTACAACACTTTTCAAAATATAGTTTCATCCTTGCTAACAAGCCCTGAATTTCTATTATGCTTATTGCAGCATGCAATCCTTTATTAATGTTATTAAATGGTATAGCAATCTCTTTAAAAATATTCCCATAAGGGACTCCTTGAAGTCTGGAGACATTGTAGGTTTCCCCCAAAAATGTCTAGCATTTTAACTTATGCATATAACATTGTAAAAATGGAACAGTTTTCTGCAAAATTTGTCTCAAAAAAAGCTGTTTCCATTTCAGTGTTTTCAAAAGTATCCTGTCCAGTTCCAAAACTGGTAATTGATCATCATGCAGTTTATAAATTCTCATGCAATAGTAACATGAAGTTCTTGAAGCCAAAGATCATAGTGCATCCATTCACAGGTAACCATTATATTAACCAAGTTAGAAGCCATATTTGTAACCACAACAACTTTAGTAAAAACCAAAAGCCACTCAATATTCTAGACTATGAAGCTTCTATAGCACTGTAGTTTCTAAAAAAATGGTAAGACAAAAGCTACTATTTTATTCCTTGAATCTCATTTTGATGGAAGCTATAAACACCTGGTACCCAACTTTAATCCACTCCAATGTACTTTTTTCAGTGTAAATATTAAAGTGCAACTTTTCAAGTAAATCACAAGTTCAAGCTGTTCAAACCAAAAGTGAACTAAATTAATTATTTCTGAGTTGTATGGTTTCATGCCCCTATTCTCAAACTTGGAACCACATCCTCTTTCTGAAGGAACCAAAGACTTGAGAGCAAAAACAAGGAGGGCAGGGTGTAGTCAGAGCTGTATGAAATGATTGAATTTCTATCAATATTAAAGTCTTCTAGTTACATTTTGAAACATTTGCTCAGGCAAAAAAAAAATATAATAAAGGTAAGTTAAAATTCTACATTAGGAACTAACAGACATATAGGCTTCTTTCAGTTACAAAATATGATTGATACTTACAATTATTATACAATTATTTAAGATGCTTTCCCATTTCCCCCAATAAGCCATATATTGTACATTTATACTTAATGCTAAATAACCAATGACAGAAAACAAAAGGTTACCTTTTCTACCAGGTTTCATTTCACCTTCTTGATCCATCCAGTATTCCCTAATATCAATTAGGACTTTCCCTTTAAAGTCACGGACACTCACATACCTCATTTTGCCAATCTACAAATAAAACAAATCATCAGAACAAAATTTTAGATAATTTACATAAAACAGGAATTTCTTAGCAGCACTAGATACTTTGACATGCAACACTGCACATCAGTGCATCTTATTTTAGATACAAGAGGAATGACTGGATTAAGTGTTTTCACAATGAAGTTCATCAAGATTAATAAAGGATGATCACATAAATGGATGAAAGACTTAAAAAAAATTTTAAATTTAGTACCATCTTCCAGCTGAAATAACTGTCCGAGAATAAGCTGTGTACCCATCTAGCAACAGATATCTCCAACTTGCAAAAAAAATCCTACCTTCTTATGCAATCTTGTCTGCCACAGGTGGAAAGTGCTAGCAGGAAAGAAATCCATTCAATTTCCCTCCCCCACACCATTCTTTGAAATTGAGACAGTAGCAGAACTATTATCTCCTCCAACTCTAAATGTGAGTATATGCTATCAGAAATCAAACAACATTTACACACATTAGATAATACAGAAATAATTTAAGTCACTCATTTTTCAACTGGATTTGGTTGGGAGTGAAGAAACACTACTAGTCCCAATATATCTGACAAAGACTCTTTGATGCTTGGCTCCTGACTAAATCCTAATGCAATTGAGTTAAAGCACTGGATGTCAAATCAGAATAAAAACAAATGAGTACCAGATTCCAGGGAGAGTAGATTCCAGAGCCTTGGCAAACAACTGACAGATAGTGCAGAATTAACTGCACTGGGCAGAGCCATTAAAATTACTTCAGTTCAAATACCATTTCTTATAAACTCAAATCTCTTGTATACAAGGTCTGAAGTTTTGCTATAGAGGAACTAGACAAGACCAATAGCAAAAATCAATGCAAAAATGTATTTATAGGCAGCATATGAATAATGGGAATATGAGGAGTGGAAATAAGAAACTGAAACTATTCAGAGACAACTAAAATACCAGTGACTAATCAATTTAATTAAACTATCCAAAACAGGCAAGGGATTCCAGACAAAAATGAGGAGTGCCTGACCGCAGAGCATGCACTCTAAAAAGTTTCATTTCAAAGTGTTCCTATTGGTACGGTGACAAATAGCTCCATAACAAGTTAATGCTTGAAGTGAATCTTAAGGTACCTTGGTGTGCAAGTATTATGGAACAATAAGCAGCAATTTTAATTAGTGTTAAATCTGGCAGGAAGCAAGAACAAGACTGAGGAGGTTCCAATTAAGTCTCAGGTTACACAGTTGCTTGATAAGCAACTTAATTTATTAAAGGTTTGGGAAGCAGGCTAATGCACTGGATTCTAGAGGTGGCATGAAGTTTGGATGTCTTGATGCACCTTGCATGTGAAATTTAACTTTTCCATCTTCTTCACCATCATTCTCAGGGCAGTTATACATTAGAAATGTATACCATAATAAGTCCTGGTACTGCAGCAACTGCTTCCATTAACACTACAAAGTTTGACACTGGAAGAGATCATAATCTATTCATAAGCTATTTGAAGGTTTAACTCAGTATTTTCCAATCAGCGTGCCACCAGAAATGAACAGGTGTGCCACAGAATTTTGCCATGGCAAAGAGCTACAATAGGTATGACGATAGGGAATGCCATAAGAGGTGTGCCATGGAATGCTTTTATTAAAGTATGTGTGCCTTGGGCTGGGAAAGGTTGTGAAACACTGGTTTAACTGATCAACTAGAAGAGCAATGTAACCACATTCTGAAAATAAAAGTAACAAGATAGGTAGCTCCTCCCCACCCTCCACTAAATTTTTCAATATTGCTGGAAGAGTGTACTATTTAGGTTAGAGCCCAGAGTTTAATATTCTGTGTGCGCTAAATGAGAACCTGGAGTATGACCCTTATTAACTTCAGGTTTCTTCAAAAATGGCCCACAAATAGAAAATTAGTTTACTTCATTTTGTTCTATAGCCATGGTGGCTTGTATAGTGATCTGGACAAAGGCAGCTAAATCCTCACAATTCTCCCATGACAAAAATAAACACTTTACTACTTCTGCAAGTAATGATATGCCAACAAAGAGTTGTATGGCAAAAGAAAAAAAAAACATAAGAGCAGAAATTAGAACCAAAATGTTCCCGATCTAGCCCGATCCTCCAAATCATACCGTCTACCAGAAAGCTTTAGTGTAGCCTAAATAGTTATAGATTTGCTCTAATATAATTTGACAGGACATATCAGCATTTCGCTCTTTAATCTGCTAAGGTTCTTTAAAATATGGGAGCTAAATTAAGAGAGAAGGTAGCATGATTATGTGAGTGTGCAAGTAATCAGCAAAAAGCAACAGATGGTACAATAGATGAAAGTGGTAAAACAATGGGGGGTTAAGCACAAAAGAAATGGCAAATCTGCCTAATTTATGGATATATGTAGTTAATTGCTTCCCTATATTCAATACCCTAGCTTACAACTGTCACTATTTTAATTAATGCTTTCAGAAGTTTTCAAATTAATTTTAGTCCATATTTACTAGTAGAAGCCTCACAAAACAAAGGTAGATTTCACAGGACAAAGAACATCAAGAACCCCTTTTAATGTATAACTTTTGATCTCCAGTGTTACTTTTCAAAAGGTTTTTTTTTAATCCCACACACAGAATATATGGTTGTGACCAGAGCAGCTATAAAAGTCAGGCAGAAAGCAGGATAGAGTTATACCTTATAGACTAACTGAATCAGAAATGCGTAAGTTACCTTGAACAGTTCACTTCATCAAATATGTGACTTCAGAGTTAGCCATGTTACTGTCAGCCATTTTATTTGAATAAGTGCACCCAAGCTTCAAAGGACTATCGTTTGTGTAGTGAAAGTATGGCAGTATTTGGGTGCAGAGGAACTGTAAGTCTCATGAAATTCCACAGCTCTTTGTTGACTAGTGGTTATGACATTGGATTGACATGGGTTCCTCTCCACTGATTTGATATATGATCCTTAAAGCCACTTAAATCCTCCACATAACAGTCTCCACTCTCACTTAGTAGATCATGTTATTAAGCTATACATTGAGGGTGGAGGTTTCTAAAATGTTTGTACAGCAGCTTCAGGGTTAGAGTTACAATAGGTGTCTGCAAGAGAGTGCAGATCTTAGTTGAAGTCTCTAGATGCAGCCACACAAGGTGGAGACATTATCTTGACTGGGGCGGGCAATTATTTTGGGTGGAGGGCTGCTTACTCAGTTTTGGCAGGCTGTCAAGGGCCACATGGGCAGCCCTGCCCCTTGACAGGTACCCCGCCTCCTGGTCACCATCTTGGGACCAATGTCAGCACCAGTGGGGCCCAGAGCAGGGCACAGGCTGGCAGGGGTCCGCAGAGCAGAGCTGGGCTGCACCAGCAGGCAGAAGGAGGAGCTGGCCCGGCTCCATAGAGCCCCTGCCGGCTGGGACCCCACACTCCTGCCACCCTGCTCTGGGCCCCACGGGCACTGGCCCTGGGACACCAGTGCAGGCCCTGTGCTCCCATTGGCTCCCCGCCTGCTCACACCCAGTGCCCCCCAGCCCCACAGTACAGGCAGGGGCAGTACACAGCCCTGACCCCCTGCTCACCAGCAGGGAAAAGTGGCCCCTCGCCTGCCCCATGGACGGTGCCACGTGCTGCAGGCACTCACAGCCCATGCGGGGCTGCCTGGAGCAGTGGGACTGGGTTATAAGCTGGTGCTGAGCACAGGGGGGGAAGAGAGAAGCCAGCCACTCCCTGCCCCATGCCCGGCACTCCACACTGCAGCAGCTCTCAGCCTACCTGGGGCTGCCTGCGTCTGCTCCCAACAGCCCGCATGGGCTGCAAGCGCCTGCAGCGCAGGGCGCTGGCCATGGGGCGGGCAAGGGGCCGCTTTTCTCCATGCAGGGAAGAAGCCCAGGGAAAAGCTAAGCGTGAGGAGGGAAGCAGCCCCTCCTCCACCCCACGCCCGGTGCCCCACACTGCAGGTGCTCGCAGCCCACAAGGAGCTGTCCGGAGTGGACACAGGCAGCCCCACACGGGCTACAAGCAACCGCAGTGCAGGGCACCGGGCATGGAGCGAGGAGAGGCCACTCCCCCCCAATTTCCTCCCTTGCCCGGATTGCCCCACCCCCACTTACCTGAGCTTCCCACACTGGGGCAGCCACATGCTCCCAGCCCAGAAACCCCAGCTGGTGGGTGAGGCTGGGCAGGCCCCACTGTTGTTAGAGCCCACCGGGCTTCCCCTGGGTCCTACTGCCCTTGGTTCCTGTCACTTTTGACAGGAACCAAGGGCAGAGAAATACTGATTTTCTTTATTTTTTTAGGGGCCCTGCGGGCCGGATAGAATGGACTCGCAGGCCAGATCCGGCCTGTGGGCTGTATTTTGCCCACCCTGATCTTGACTAATTAGTTTAGCTTGGAGTGACTTCACCTTAAATTGCCACACAGTACAACAGTCCAGATCAAAGTGCATTTCCACAGATGTCACACTGAATTACTATTTATGGCTTAGTTATAAGCTCTATATTAAATAGAAATATAATACATGCTTGAATCTCAAAAAAATAACGACTGTGAAACAGGCAGGATACTGGGAATAAGCAATACAACCAATAAAGCAAAATTAAAATTAACTGTAACAGCTTAGATTCTATTACTGAATCATAAAATTGCTTCTTCTCACAAATTAATTTTTAGGCCAGGAGAATGTCAAGAAACTCAATGCTATGTTATCTAGAAAGAAAATGAATATATTCAAGTCTCTTCCTAAAAATGTATAAAACAAAATATCAAAATATCAATTGCCCATCGCAGGTGGTGACAGAGGAAGGGGGGCGGGGCAGGCCAAAGCCTCACCCCTGCCTCCCACAGCATCTGACCCCACTCCCCCCTCCCACAACAATGCCACTGTCACCCGTGGGGGGAGTCAGGGCAGTGAGGCCAGCTTCAGTGGCCTCGCCTCCACCCATCAAAGTAGGGCAGGGGGGGCGATGCCAGTGCTGCTCCGTCTGCTCCGTTGCCAACACCTCCAAGGAGCAGGGCTGCACTGGCCTCACCCCCCTGCTCCGTCCCTGTGCCCCTGCCATCATGGCAGCATGTTGCCACCTGTCCCAATGCTTCTTTGCACTTTGATTGGCTGTTTCTCAGATTAAGGTTTTTATAATATTAGAATATGCTATTTAAGGATCCCTCTAACCCAAGAGTCAGCAATGTTTTTGAGCACAGTGCCAAAAACACCTGCAACTTCAACTTCTACGATGTTGGCATGCAGGGGCAGATGATGGGAGAGCCACAAGGGGCCCAATTCTTGGTGTTGCAGTGCAGCCCCAGCCCTGCCATCCGCCCCATCGTATGCATGCCAAGCAAAATGCCTTCACATAGCTCACACTGGCATCTGTACAGGGGACTGCCTACCCCTCCTGTAACCAATTCCTCAAAGTCAGGGGTTGTCAGTTTTACCTGAAACATATTCTCATCTCTGTTACTGCTTTGCTTAGAGGAAGCTGCGCCTTTAGAACTTTCGCCAGTCTTTTGTTTCTTTACAGGCTTTTCTGGAGCTGCTTGCTTTTTCCTCTTTGCCTTGAACAAAAAAAAAAAAAAAAAAAAAAAAACCAAAAGTAATAAAAA